GCGGGCCGGATCCGGCCCGCGGGCCGTAGTTTGGGGGCCCCTGATTTACTTCATTATTTGATAGAATATGGTTTTTAAAAATGTGTTTATCTCCTGTCCAGTAGGAGGCGGTATTGCACCTGAAATCTGGCCGGATTAGAAGATTGTTGGGGAAAAAGGAAAGGAATTTAAATATTGGATAGCTGCAGTATTTAAAGTTCATGATACAGAATTTAGTCCAACATTACTGAGGCCTTTAAAACTTACGTTGATGTACGTAAATCATTATTAGTTTTTAAAAAGAGGGAAAAAAAGACAAATATTAGCCAATAGTTTTGTAGTCACTGGAAATCAGTGATTATATGCAGATTTATTCTCATGGATCAAAACACAGAAGTGAGTGATTTCAGAATTACATTTAAGATTTTTTTTAAAACAACATTAAATCGTTTTAAGTACATGTGCAGAATAATTCTTTACAATATTTTTGGATTTAGAACAGAATATGAAAAGTAATGATTTGCAGTGATTCACAGGCAGCATTTGTGAAGATTCAAACAGGAAGTACAAATAATTATTTTAAGCTTGACGATTTAGAAAGTAAATATTGGTATGCAGATACATTTATCTAAATCTGAGGATAAATGCATAGTTTGGAGGGAAGTAAGAAGTTATGGGAAAAGCAGTGGAAAAACGAGGTAAAAGGGAGACATGCAAATAGAGTGGAAAAAAGTATTGATGTTATAAAAAATTGAGAGATGAGAGATAAGTCGAATAACTTTTTATCGGTATTTTTTGAAAGGTATGGGAAACAAATTTATAATTAATAAATAAACTATATATTTTTATTAGTTGTAGGAAGAATGTGAATCAAAGCATAACCTTGGAGATTAGTAGGGAAGTGAGGTCTGAAATTGTGGTTGCTCGATTAAATCAAATTGATAAGAAACACTGGATTTACAGACAGTGACAAGAAAATGATGTTTACATGTATGGTCCAAGAGATGGCAGTAGTGCAACTATTTGAATGCAAACTGCCGGTCACAACCAAAAAAAGAAGTAATATCAAGGTTGGTTTCGTCCTGCTCTTCGATTAAACCGTTTTTCACATCTTGTCTCATTGTGAGCTCTCATAGTAATTGCTGTCGACCTTTAACACTGATGTTCGTCTGTTTTAGCAGCTCCAACACTCTGTGAGAGACCAGTTAGCCGCCGAGCTATCTGAGAAGCTAACTCTAAGGAGAAGAAGCAGCTATTTTCTATTTAAGACAAAAGCACAAAAACGTTTCACAAGGTGATTGTTGGTCATGTGTGGACGTTGTGCGGCTATCCGCTCTTCTTCTGAGGAATAAAAACAGGACTATCCGGTAAGAGAAACATCTTATGACGAATAACAAACGCTTGATAGCTGCTACTTTGACTGCTAGGTGCACGTCAGAACGGACGCCATATTGGGAGGGGAAATGGTATCGATTAATTGGGAGAGGCAGATGGCTATTTCAGACACCTTTACAAAACTAGGAAGTGAACGATTCGCGTTGAACTTAAAGAAACACAAATCATTGGAAAATATGATCTGATTCCATAAGACATTTATTAAGTGGTTAAATTAATCTAGACATAAACTTTTTAGTGCTCGAATGTTGGTTGTGGCTTCTGCAAAATGTGAATTACGCAGAACTTTTCATGATTCAAAATATTGTGATATGTTGAAGAAAGGCCAAAATGCTCAAGCTGCTGTTTTTAAGCATGTCTCATAAATATCCTGGCCACTTTACTGTATGTTTCCATATGATCATTATGTTAATAGGGAGACAGTTTCTTTCTTCTGAATTTGTCAGACTCTTTTTTTCTGCTTTGGTCTTTCCAGATAATCATGTGACAAGTTGAAATTCTTTAAGACAGGAGCAACATGAATATGTTAAAGAATGTACCTAGAATATAATATAGATGCATTTTGTCAATCTTTCAGGTCTCCAACAGCATCATGTCTGATCAGTTCCTAATCCAACCACAAAGAAACACCATTCATGACCACACCTTGCCAAATGATCTGGAGACGAAAGAGGCACCAGATCCACTGCAGATTACAGAGATTAAGGAGGAACCAGAATATCAACTGATCAAAAAAGAACAAGTTGAGCTCAACATCCCCCATGACAAGAACTCTGTAGTGAAGCAGGAAGCTGACACCTTTATGGTGGCTGCTGGTTGGGATGAAATATGCCAGAGCACACATGAACTGCAGAAAATGACGGAGACAAAGGAGGAACCTGAACCAGAACATATTAAAGAGGAACTGCAGGAACCAGAACAGATTAAAGAAGAACTTCAGGAACCAGAACAGATTAAAGATGAACTGAAGGAACCAGAACAGATTAAAGAAGAACTTCAGGAACCAGAACAGATTAAAGAGGAACTTCAAGAACCAGAACAGATTAAAGAGGAACTGAAGGAACCAGAACAGATTAAAGAAGAACTGAAGGAACCAGAACAGATTAAAGAAGAACTGCAGGAGCTCTACATTAATCAGGAGGAAGATCAGCTTGTAGTGAATCAGGATTCCTTCAGTGGAACTCCTCTGTATGAGAACGAAGCTGAAGACCAACATGAGGACAGATGCAATTATGGCGCCAAGGTATTGGATGGAAATCAAGAGCTGATGGTGAATCAGAGCGACAGTGTTGACTGTTCTAAACTCAAAAAGCTCCAGAAAAAAACTCGTTCTTGTAGAATTTGTGGGAAACATTTCATCAGGAAAACTTCCCTGAATTTTCACATGAGAATCCACAGCGACGAGAAGCCGCATAGCTGTGAAGTCTGCAGTAAGTCTTTCTTCCATAGCAGCCATTTGGTTCGTCACATGAGGATCCATACAGGCGAGAGACCGTTCTCATGCAAGATCTGTGGAAAAAGCTACATCGATAGAAGTAGCTTAAATGCACACATCAGAACTTACCTGGGAGAGACTTGTGGATTGTACGATAAATCTTCCACCAAGAATCAAGATCTGGTTTGTCACGTTAGACACCACAAAGCCAGGAAGCTGTTCTCGTGTCCCATCTGCGGAAAAAACTACACAACCAGAAGCAGCCTAAAAACACACAGCCTAGTCCACGGAGGCCAGAAGCCGTTCTCATGTGGACTGTGCGATAAATCTTTTGCAAACAAAGGAGATATGGTTATTCACATCAGAGTCCATACAGGTGAGCGGCCATTCCCTTGTGGATCATGCAATAAATCTTTTATAAGCAATAGAGATCTGGTTCGTCATGTCAAACTGCACAAAGCTGAGAGACCATTCCTGTGTACCACCTGTGGAAAATCCTACACTGACAATCGCAACCTTAAATCACACAGCAGAGTTCACCTGCAGGAGAAGCCATATCCCTGTGACCTGTGTGCCAAATCATTTGTAAACAGGACCGACTTAGTCCGCCACAGGAGGACTCACACAGGCGAAAAACCATTTTCGTGTGAATTATGTGGGAAATTATTTACTAACAAATACACTATGTTAAAACATGCAACAACTCACACAGACAAGAAGCCTGAGGCGCTGTTTCCTTTTAATCTTTCTGACAGCGTTCAGCTGGACGATCACCTGAGGAGCCACACAGGTGAGCAGGTCTTCTCATGCGTCACCTGTGGAGAGAAGTTCTCCAAACCGTACAGTTTGACTATGCACATCCGGACTCATACAGGTGAAAAGTCGTACTCCTGTGAACTGTGTGGTAAATTATTCACTGCCAGATATAAACTGACTGCACATGTATGTGAAAATAAACCTTAGAAAGATGTTAAATTTGTAAAACATAATTTATTTGACCCACAGATGGAATCCAACCCATAACTATATTAACTCTTCATATTACCTATTTTATCATTTTACAAGACATTTCATACCATTGCGTTTAAAACAGGACAAGTCAGGTTTTTTGTCAATTGTGCAGAACCAATGGAATTAAAATGCTCCAATCCAATCATCTATTATTGATATGCATGAACATGGGTCCATTCAGCTCAAACATCCCCTTTTTGTGTTCTGCCTCAAGGCTCAATTATGGGATCAGAGATTTAGGAGTCATTTATCCGGGATAAATTTGTTCTCCAGTGTGCATAGGAAGTATGTGAATGATATACTTCCTATTCACTTCCTATAAGAAATTATGTGATAGAATGGGAAAAGGTGACGTTGCGTGTATGTTTGTTTTTTATATTATGTATATGATCCAACAGATGGCAGTAGCGCAAACTTGGATGCAAGCTGCCGCTTCAAACTAAGGAAGTAGTAATCCAACTTCCGGTTAGCAACCGCAAGAACCAAAAATCAACTCTAGTTTCGTTCTGCTCTTCATTTAAAACTTTCGTCACACCTTGCCTCATTGTCTCTGATAATATTTGAAGTCTACCATTAATACCGATGTGTGTCTATTTTAACAGCTCTAACACCCTGAAAGACACCAGTTAGCCTCAGAGCTAACTGGTCGGAGTTAGCCCGGGGGCTAACTGGCTTTCCCCTTAAAATTAAGTAAGCAAAAAAAGATCCACACGAAGATTTTTGGACAGTTACATTGGACTCTGTGGCCTTCAGCTCTTCTTCCACCGAATAAAAGTAAGAATATACGGTAAGAGAAGAACTGAGACAACACTTACTAGCTATACTGACTGCTAGGCGCTAGAACACGTAAGCGCGTCCGCCATATTTAGAGGGTAAACAGCGGCCAGTTATAATGAGAGAGGCGGTACTGTGATTTTAGTCCAATTCGTAGTCCAATACTACAGTCTACTGCAGGGGTGTCAAACTCCAGTCCTCAAGGGC